CCAATAAGACTTAAGTTTATGACAGAACGATAACGTTCCTTCAGGGAAGCTAAGATTGAGAAATTTTTATTGGAAATTCTTTGCTCGTGAAGAAGCAGTAATCCGGCAATCTTTTCACTTAAGTTGTGCTTGCGTTCAGCAAAGTTGACTTGGGAAAGATGAGAGTATGAGTGCATCATTGAAAAGATAGACAATAAGATTAGGCTTTTTGGAAATGAATATAACCAGACTTGTAAGGTGCGATACAATCTTACCGAGGACCATGTAGATTCGTTAAGATCGGTTATCTTTTGTGTATCCACTTGATGTGCTACCGAGCAGGAGAGAAAACACAGAACGGCCCTGATTTCTGTTCCAGGTTTCAATGTTGTTGTGTGGCAGGGACATTCCAATTTTTCGCCAGCTCCTAGTTCGTGATTTGAGATGTCTATGTTCCAAATAGTTCTATACGAAGAGTATTATTTAGATGACTTAGTTCACGTCATTTTTTTGTTCAGTAAACTTGAAGCAATCGTATGCAAGCAGTTAATATTTTCTATTTGAAACCTGTGTGTTCTTAACCGGTTTATCTGAATGAGTCTTATATAAATGAAATGGAAACCTACCCACTCGGGGTTTTTTGAAAAAATGGTTCCTGACCCTCCTATGTTCTCCCTTGTCGTTCCCAGTCCACGAATGAACTAGTCAGTTTTCGTACTTAACCATAGTATCATGTGGCCTTATGAATGCACCTCAATTTCAATCACTAATCCGAGTTTGTTTGTATGAAATGCTTCGGGAGTGACGGTCGTCATTCGCAACATATTGAAAATTGTTTTGATTAGCTGGGTCCTATTCTCCCATATTCCTAAAGCACTCTGTCGTTTTCGTCTTGAAATCTGTGAGGAAGACCTGAGACGTATTTAGGTTCATGAGTGTCAAGATCTTGCCACTATAGTTAATCGATTTCGCAAGTTTCCGAGTACGTTGAGGCTGAATTCCCTTCTATCTAGCCTTTTGACTGCAAAATACGTGTCTCCAACCGAGCTGTATGACGCTTGCTGGTTCCAGAAACCTTCCTGCTTTTGATTATATGCGCTCATTTAAAATCAAGGTGTATATGTCTCAACGAAAAACTCAAGAAAAGAAGTTCCTTCTGTCCCTCGTCTTCTAAACGGTATCGCAAGGCTCGATCGGCTTCTAGTAGGAGACATAACCGAACCATTTTAGTCGTCGACGACACTCCGGAATCCCACAGTATGTTTGACGCAACTTTGATTGCCTCTCATAGCAACCTGGACGAATGGGTACAGGTTGTCAGGAAGAAACAACATAACGATGTAAAAGAGAATCCTGTCTCCGTAAAAGTAGTCAAGAAACCAAAGATTGATCACAGTGGTGGGTCAGTTATTTTTCATAGAATCAAGGAAAGTAAAAGCTGTGAACAGAAAACTCATTTTTAGCATGAAATTGTGGTGATAAAGCAGCTACTTAATCAACTGATGCCTCAAAATATACCCGCAGTCACCTTGCTAAAGGTGCACAGACTAGGTAGCCTAGTGAACTTAAAGCTTAATCAATCCAGACTGCTTAAATTAGTATTCAAATCTCCGAATGAATACGAGTTTATTTTACAGAATGGACATAACTTAAAGGGTTCAGGAGTTTTTATCCGTAAGAACTTGCCGTTGGCAGATCACGTAAAAAGACGGGAGGCCGAAAAAACTACAACTTAGGTTAGACGTGGCGAAAAGGACATAAAATTGCAAACTTTTGGGTTATAAGGCTTCGACAGAGAATGATGCCAAATCCACTGTGGGTTAAGCACGAAGCCACTTAAATGGGCTTCGGATCTACTACACTAATGCCCGAAGCTTACTCAATAAGTGATCAGAACTAGGTGTACAGACTGACTCTACAAAGCCAGACATAATTGCAGTCACAGAAACCTGGCTGACACAGTCTCTGGATAGTATGGAACTTGATTTCGAGGGTTTTATGTTAGTAAGGGCTGACAGAATTCAAAAGCGTAAAGGAGGAAAAGTAGCTCTATTCATTAGGAATGCTATCCCACTCACCGTTATCGACAGTGTGTCCGATGAGAGTGCGAACTGAATCATCAGAAAATTCCGTCGAGCAGGAACTAGTTGATGCGGTTATCACATGTGCTCTAGTGCAACATGTGAAAGAAGCGACTAAGTACAACCCGGACACTGAATCATTCTTACTAGATCTTATATTGACTCACTATGAGGATGACGTTGCGAACCTCCACTACATGCCACCCCTAGGTAAAAGTGATCACACAGTTTTAACTTTCAACTTCCATATAACTGTCACTCACGAGTACGTGTTAGCTCATTCCAGACCTAACGTCTGGAAAGCGAACATACCAGATATCATGCACTCAGCATCGTTAGTAGATTGGACTATAGACCCAGAGTACTCAATTGAAACGGCTTGGGACACTTTTCGAAATTTATACTTAAAAGTTACCGCGTTCCACATTCCTTGGACAACACCGAGAAGGTCAAGAAACTCTCCACCAAGGTTCAGTAGGGAGGTCCGCATCCTTCTCCGTAAGAGAAGAAAAATGTGGGATAGATTTAGGTTACTGAGGTCTGATGAGACAAAGTCTCAGTGTCGAAAAGCTTCGATCCTCGACCCTCCGTAGGTCTTTAAAGATGTACGAAAAGAAAATTGTCAAGGGATCCATAGAATGTCCCAAACGCTTGTATTCTTATAAACCAGAGGACAAAAAGAATAGGAAACATTCCTGCACTATGGAGAGATAGTACTGCCGCATCTATGATGGAGGACGACTTTGGTAAGGCTCATGTGTTCTCGAACTACTTTAGCAATGTATACACTGTATAAGCACCCTTCCCGTCAGTGCATACAAATCTCCCCACACATACACTGGATAGCGTGACCATTAAAGAACTCGATGTCTGCTAAATAAGCTTGACATAAGTAAATCCACGAGACCCGATGAATTGCATCCTAGGGTACTGAAGGAATTATCTAACTTCGTTGCGAAACCTTGAAATACATGCGTTAATCTATCCGTAACGCAGAGTCGTTTACTAAAATATTTGAAGTAAGTCCTGTCTTCAAAACAGGTACGAAACATAAACCTGAGAATTACTGACCCGTTAGCTTAATTAATGTGGTAGTTAAAATCTTAGAAAAGATTATTCGGAAGGAGCTGTTTAAGTATCTCGATAAAAACCGGATCCTCTCGGAGAAGCAGCACGGCTTCAGAATAGGTTATTCTTGTCTCACTAACTTATTAGTGGATTGTGAAAGCTGGTGCGCCCTTAAGGACCAAAAGCTACCTGTAGACGTCGCCTTCATTGATTTCAGTAAAGCTTTTGACAAAGTTCCGCACAACCGGCTGTTATATAAGTTAAGAAAAGTCGGAATTGGAGGCAATTTATTGATGTGAATAAAAGACTTCTTAGTTGGGCGTCGACAAAGAGTAAGGGTGAACTCAAAGTTATCTAGCTGGGAAACTGTGCTTAGTGGAGTGCCCCAGGGTACAGTTTTGGGGCCAGTGCTATTTCTCTTGTATGTAAATGACCTTCCTTGTCTCCTATCATCATCGGTCTTGCTATATGCTGACGATGTCAAGATATGGAGAACGATACGATGTAAGAGTGATAGCTTAGAACTTTAAAATGACCTGAAGAAGTTATCTGAATGGTCTCAAACCTGAAAGTTGCCGATAAATACTTCCAAGTGTGTTGTGATGCATATCGGTCATCAAGGCACAGATACATACACGATGAATAACACTGAGCTACCTGTCGTCCAGACATATAATGATTTAGGACTTATCGTTAGTCAAGACTTAAAGGCTACTGCACACTGCCGTGAAATAGCCGCCAAAGGTTTTAGGACTTTATGGTCAATACGTAGAGCTTTTAGCCATGTCGACGCCAAAACGTTTTTGACTTTGTATACAGTGTTCGTTCGTGCTAAACTTGAGTACTGCATACAAGCGGCTAGCCCCTGCTTAAAAAAGACAGTGAGCTTCTGGAAAAGGTTCAGAGGACGGCGTCTAAGCTGATTCCCGGAATAGCTAAGCTTCCGTACGAATCTCAACTGACTAAGCTGAACCTTTTCCCGTTGTCATATTGCAGAACTAGAGGCGACTTGATTACAGTTTTCAAATTGCTTAGTGATAAATTTGCACCTGATATGCCCTCATTTTTCTTGTCTTCCAAAACAGAGAACTTACGAGGACACTCCAAAAAAGTTCATAAGCCGAGAACAAATTACTTGTCAGCTGACAATCGACTTTCCCATCGAATCATCAACGAGTGGAATTCACGACCTCAGCACATGGTTAAGGCTTCATCCGTCGACTTTTGGAAAAGAAAGTTGGATCAACTGAGAGACCACCATTGCCAGGATTAACACAGGCCATCAAGCCCCCTGTCCTTTACAAACTGAAACTTAAACTGATAATAATAATAATAGTAACCTAAAGATGTGCAACAATACTATGAAGTGGGAGCAGATATACTACCTAGTTTACATTAGATCGTCACAAAGATACTGGGTTGCAGCAGTAAATAAATCCCGGAAATAAATAGTTCTGTAAGTCTTCGACATCGATGCTGACCACATTAGTTTTATTGGATACACTCTATCTGAAGGTTGCACCGTGCTACATATCCCTTGCAACTACTAGCCAGCTTAGAGTAAACGCTTCTCGACATACAGACATATTTTCAAACATATCTTCAAAGCCCCTTAGCCCCGTTTTTTTCAAACCTCAAATGAATGAGATATCGTTAAAGTAAACAACTGAGAATCTTTCTAGAGCCCATACACAGAAGTAAAAAAATAATTGAACAAATTTTTTCAGTGAAAATGACGGACACGTTGATTCATTGAGGCATATTGCATACTGAATATTGGATTTAATCACCATGACATTAGCGTTACAATAATAAATATGTGTGTTAATAACGACCTTGATTACTATAGTACTAGAGTTGTCCCTAAATTGAATGTCGGAAAGAGATACACTGCCTGATATTTTGTACAATGATCTATCTCAAGCTTTCAAGTACATTGACAAAGATGGAGATGGAACTCTAGGTGTTGACGATATATCTTACTTACTAACAACTCTCGGTATTGGTTGTAATGAAAACAGTATTTCAGTAAAGTGAAATAAGAAATACTATAGTGGTTTCCTTGACAGACAATTGTTAGGGATTTATCTGATTGTGAGGATTATATAAGGCTTCCAAAATTTATCGAACTCCTAGGTCATGCACTGGAGAGTCTTGATGAAAACCAACCGGTGAAGACACTATTTCGGTTTGCCTTTATGCGTAAACTTTTTATTTGTTTGTGTGCATATCATTTTAAACCAATATATGATAAACGTACAACATACCAGAATCTTAACTATATTCATTATCTTTTGACGACTTTGCATTATCTGATTTATTTCCTTGAGATCCCTTCTTCTTCTTTCCTCACTACTTTCGGTCTGCGGTAATGTCTAATGGGTGGTAGTTTAGATAGTTGACTGACTAATCTTGTTCAATTTATTGGTTATTTGTGAGTTTGTGTGTCTTGTAACCGGATTACGAAAGTAAGCTAAGATGAGATGATCGCTTGAAGAACATAATAAATAAAAGGTTGATTAATTAGGAATGCCGATAATAAGAGGATACCCAAGTCTAACAATGAAAGATCAAACGGAGATGATGATAAGTACGATAGTAATAATTTATTAACATATGTTAATGATAATGGCGAAAACGATACGAGACATGCATCGAGCACAACTAGTCAAAAAAGGTGGTGATCGTTGGGTAAATTTGTCCTTGAAGCTATTCATTAAAGGGGTTGTGGTCACTGTGGCTAGGAGAGCAATCTAAGTGGGAGAGGACCTCAAATGGGAAGAAGCAAGAGTTCAACTGATATTTCCCTCTTCAGTGCTCAACTTTCCATGAGTAGCCTTTCGGTACATTATGCTGATATCCTGTCAGGATATTGTAATATATTGAGTTGATGTACTTATTACGTTGCATTCCACTGTCAGATTATCTTTTATTTCTTTTAGTTCAGAAAGAGTAATTCCTACTATAAGGGTCTATCTTCGTAAGATTTGCTTCTTTGATTCAACATCTACTTAGTTGCTCGTCTCTGTACTTGATTTAAGAGATTCACATTTACGTCTTTGCACAAATTGCATTGATTTTGGATATAACACTGAACTAGCATCTAAGATTTCTGTGTTCAATAGTCCTAGATCGTGCTCTGAAGTGACAGCTACCAGCGAAGTTTCATACAGGACGTAGTCTGCTTGTTTTCTATGGATCAGATTGTTCATGCTATGACATTTTGGCGGGTTACGTCCCACCTTTTAAATATTGTCTATTCCCCTGTCATTATGAGGTCCTTCAGAAGCTTGAGTGAATTCTTTTAACTCCTTATGGACCTCCGTATCTTGGCATCATAAGCGTATATGAGTCAGTGAGGCAATTTTGTCTGTAAGGCTATCAATAAAAAGCAGGTAGAGTAGTGGACTAGACGTGATTCATTATGGGACTCACAGTTTTAAGACTTTATAGCTTGCGAGCATTTGATGTAACTTGGTGTGGGATGTCCATTTGTACGGATAATTTTGTAGCCAGGATGAAAGTGAGTCGGTAAAACTCATTCTTGCAACCTTTGCCTGAGGAGTACTTGCAGTGCTGCGTGAAATGCTGTTGCAAAATCAACTAATACTACATGGATAAGTAAATTTTGATCTCAATAGGTTTTTCATCTTCCTCATGCTATGAGAAGATTTGATGCTCAGGACTAGCTCCTTCTATGCCCGTGTTGTGTCTTATGAAGGATGTTAATATACTGAAGTATGCTCCAAGTATAATTTAATCCGAGGATTACGAAAATTAATAAACCGGAAGAACGATTAAGTAAGATTATTAAACAAACTAACAAAGATACATTGAAAAGGTATGCATTTATAATTGTTGTGATTTACAGAGTTTACATAAAACTTGCTATAATTTCAACCTTTTCTAGCATCTATGTACTCGTTAACTTGTAATGAACTCATTAGAATTCGGTTATTTATTCTGAAACCTAAAGTAATTCACTAACTTCTATTCTTTTTTTATGCTATTGGAATAAAAAAATTCGGTTTTTAATGATAATTACTCTAGTCTTGTAGACATTCCCATTTTACTAAACTAACTTTCTTTTAAACTGCCGAAATTACTTATTTCTATTAAAGTATTTAGTATGCAAGTCATAATCTTAACAAATAGGCCATCGAACTAATTTAAATGTGATGAATTTTGAGTATTTAAACAAAATTAAAGAGTTAATCTTATACATATTCAGTTGAAGATAAATTATCAATCAATTTGTTGCAGATATATTTTCATATAATAATTGAATTCATGAGTCAATCGAAGCTAGACCATCATGGAAAACCTGAAACTACTGGACGACAGTCTTATCCAAGTACGGGACTCCTCAGCAGTGATCATACACGGTCCCGCCCCGCGAACCCATGGATTGGCTAAAGTTAGACATTAACACTGTTGGGTGCCGGCCAGCTCAGTGGTTTAAAGGTTAAGCGTTCGCGCGCAAGACTGATAGGTTCTGTGTTCGAATCTCGCGAGGCGGGAACGTGGATGCGCAATACTGAGGAATCTCACACTTTGATAAGACTGCCGTCCAGTACTTCCAGATTTTCCATGGTGGTCTAGCTTTAGTTGCTTCATGAATTCAATTCTTAAATTACTACAATCTTCACAAAACCCTTCTCTGATTATATTTTAATATATTTCATCTTTCTTATAATCATGAATCTGAAAATGAATGTGAGTGTTTTGATTCATTCAAACATTTGATTACTGAAAGCATTGATTATAAGTAAGATGAAATATATTAAAATATATCTGTAACAAAATGATTTTGTTTAAATGCTCAAAATATATCCCATTTAAATTGATTGAATGGCCTTTTTGTTAATTAAGATTATGACTTGCATACTAAATACTAAGGTTCAAGCAAAAGCAAAAAAAGAAATGTAAATATCTTAATTATACCCAGTTTTTTAAAATGATGATAAACATTGTAAGAAAATGTTAGAGATATGTAAAGTTAAACTATTGTTCACATCTTTAACAGACAACTACCTTTTAACATAACTGGTTTAGGCGGACAACAAAAAATTATAGTATTTTAAACTTTATTTGAATAATAAAATTGATTTACACGTCATTCACTTGGTTTGCGAGTGGTTAAAAGTTTTAATGGAATATGCTGAATGTTCAGCATGTAACTGCAATGTTACTTGCATCCACTAAACATAAATATATTGGGGTTTTTCAGTTAAGATATTTATGATCATGCAAATCAGTAGCTAATATTTCGATCTTTCACTTGTGTTTGTTCCACTGTATAATAAACAATTTATTGTATTTTCTTCAGAATTGTTGATCGAAATGGTGATGGACATCTGGATCCTGATGAAATAGCACTACGAATGTCTAAAATATTTAATAAAATTACTAAAGAAGAAGTCAGACTTCTACTGGATACAGTAAAGATGGACGAAGATCAAACATTAGATTGTGAAGAATTCGGTGCTCTTTTAAGGTCTGGGTTTTCTGAAGCAAGGAAGTAAAAGACAATAACTATACTTCCTTTCTGAACTATACTATTTTTTGTTAATAACGTCAGTTTTATTTATTGTTCTTACCATGGTTTGGTCATACATTTTAAGTTGACTATAATAAGCACTATTATACTTTCATTATACGTTAAATAACATGTACTTTATTATTCTATTGTGATGAAAAATGCTTAAATAAATTCCCCATATAAAATGTTTTCTCTAAATAATACTTTTTGAACTCATAATTTGAAACCGATAATAATGCAAACTTAAAGTTGTTTCGTTTCAAATTTGGCTAAGACTTTATGAAGAGATTCAACTACTTTCTTGAAAGACACGTTGTACTGTTAAGAGAAAATTAGTACTCCATAATGGAATAGAGGAAAATATTTTTATTCAGTAGGAGCGTTACATTAACAAATTGATTGTGTACAAATTGAACTTCTCATTCGATTTATTAAATAGTGAACTAGTAATGTTTACAAAATGAGATTCAAAATAAAATTCATAACTTATACTCATGTTAAGGGGATTAACGCAAATTAAACTGACTGTTTACTTTTAGTAAATCTTAGTAAATCTTATGTTTATGTGAAATAAGTTCCTGTTAGTCGTTGTTTAAATTAACATTTACCAAACTATTTGTAATTGATAATATTTTAGAGTTAAACAAATTTCAGTTCTGTCAAAATAGAAAATAATGTAGCAGTTTACTTATTGTCGGAATTTGATAGGAATTTTTCCAGTTTGTTTATTCACTGAAATTGGAGAAAAGATAATTCGTAAGCAGTAACTTAATTGAATTCGCAAGAAATAATTTTGACTGATTGTGCTGTAAGCTCAATGAAGAAATGAAAATAAAACTTTTATAATCGATTATTTTCAATACAGTAATTGACATTTCCAAACTTTATTTAGTTACTCTTGGTTACATTTCAAATCATAAGTGAGAAATATAAACGTAGATCAAAATCACAAATTCAGTACATAAATAGATTATCACTTAAATAATAAATAAATTTCGTCTACCTTCATCAGAATAATCACAGAATGAAAAGGTGTTTGGATAATATTCAACTGGAAAGTTTGGTTATTAAATTTTTAAGTTTTAAGGTAGCTCTTCTAACGATGTTTAATACAAACTCCTTCTACAAACCTGAACTTGGTTCAACTATGCGTATTCAATATTGAACAAGGTATTAGGAATTTTTTTATTAGGAAGAAATAGTATTAAATGTTTTTGGACTTTGATTTTTTATTTAATGTACTCTATATATTGAGTAAATACTCAGTTATTTTGATCATTACTTTACTCTACTCTTTACTGAATAAAACTTTTCAATAATGATAATGTACTAGAAAAAAGAAGATAGAAAATGCTTTAAAATATAAATAAAACTAATTAATAAATCAGAATATATAAAAAAAGAGGAAATATTTTTGAATAAAAGTAAAACTATAAATAAGTTTGATTTCGAAATGACTTGTTCATTCCCCCTCCCCTCCAAAAAAAGACAAAAAAACCCGTGGAAACTCTGATACTCTTCAGTTATTGTGTCAATGTGACAAAAATATTAATCAAACTGAGTTTTTATTCAGTTGTTTATTTTATTTGTATTAATAATTATCTTTTCAAAATTAGAAACCTGGGTTTTATGTTAATTTCTAATGTGATCTGTATTCAAATAAACAAAAAATAATGAAATTGTTAACAAATGAATAAATAAACAGTAAACGAGGTTCACTTGACTGATTATTTTTATTTAAGGAAACACAGTGATTTTATGATCTCTTTAATTAAAAAGAACACACTGGTTTTGATTGCTATTCGTAATTATATAGGCTGAGGTTAATTCAACAAAATAAAAAATATATGATTCAAGTTGAATGTAAGATTGTTAAATTCAATTAAATGAAGGTATACGATGGAAAGGAACTTCGAATAATCTTGGAATTATTGACAATGGATCTTACAACTCAGTATTCTGAAATCTCTTGTTTGTTGAGTGGTTCGAGATATTTCTACCCGAATCTCGGGCTAGGCGCAGTAGAATGAATGACATGCATGAAATCTTAATAAAACTGATGCTTCATACGAGAGTCGAATAATGTTTAGTCACTTTTATAGTCAGATACAGTTTTCACTGAGTCATGACTAGCAACTGAGTAGGAACCCGTTAACGGGATATAGATTGAATTAATGCATATTCCATGCACAATTGCGTTGGTGCACGCTGGTTGGTCAATTCTTATCCAATCAGCGCTAGTAGATACATGGAGAAAACTAGAATCTTTTCATGTAAAAACTGTAAATATACTAACGTTTTTCTTATTGTGCTTTATGCTTCTATTTGTCCTTGTTATTTTGAATATAATTTCCTTCCTGTTCAACCGTGTTCTGATTTGGGGACTTGTCGAGTGAATTGGTGTCCAAGAATACTAAGCAATAGGAATAGGTGAGTTGTGATAAGAGAGAATTATAACGGAACCAACCTAATGTATTTTTTGTTCTTATTTAATAATGTTCTTTATAAATTGATGGTCAAGGATGGCGAGTTATTCGATTTATTGTTTGCTAAAATTCACAGCATAATAAATAAAATGTTTTCCAATATTGAAGATTGGTAGTGAGCATGTAACAAATGTTAGGGGTAGTTCAATTAAAACTGCAAATTCACTAAGAAAAGAATCAGTTTATGCTTTGGGTGACAGCATGAAACATATTTTTTAAATCAACCATTTAGCCATTTTGTTTTTAATACACTTTTATAGAAACTCGTGAAAATTGTAATTTGCTTTAAGCATTCATTTGGATTTTCACCAAGGAATTTGCGAAGGTCTTGCTGTATATTCACTTTGCCTTATAAATATTCCGAGAAAAAAAACAGAGAAAACACATCTATCTATATTGATTCACAGATAAAAGGAAATTTTTCGCTGTTTTCATTTCGGTGTATATAGACGATATTTTCTGTTATCAAACCTATTTTATCATATGCGAATGACTTGATAAAAAACTTGCTGTTATTCCTCAGTTATATTGCATTATTATTTTGAATAAGAAGTATTCTCATATCGATTACTTACTTACCTGCTTACTCCTAACGGGGCATAGGTCTCCGACCAGCATTCTTCAACCTACTCTGTCCTGTGCCTTCCTTTATAGTTCTATCCAATTGTTGTTCATTCTTCTCATGTCTGCCTCTATTTCTCAGAGTAATGTGTTCTTTAGTTTTGCTCTCCTCCTTTGGCCTTGAGGGTTCCAAGGCCAAAGGCTTGTCTTGTGACGCAGATGGGTGCTTTCCTTAATGTGTGTCTTATTCAGTTCCAGTGCTTCTTTCTGATTTCTCCCTCTACTGGAATCTGGTTTGTTCTCTCCTACAGTAGGTTGTTGCTGATAGCGTCTGGCCAATGGATCCGAAGTATTTTGCGTAGACAGCTGTCATATTGATTAATTCTTTTTAAACTGAACAATAATGAGTTGTTTATTGCTATAGAAATACAAGAAAGTTAACTGAAGGTTTCAAAAGTAATCTGGTCACATAATTATTTTAATTTCTAAAATTATCAAAATTTGTATAAACAGTAGTTTTGATGCTACTAATGTAGATGTTATGAAAAAAATTGAATATGAAAAAAAGTATTTTGCAGATTATTTATTGTTATGAATAAAATAAAAGATAATAAAGTATAATATTTTACACTTGACAAGCTGATAGTCTAATTTTTAAAATTTGCTTTTATTCTATTACAATTTTGACGTCAGATTAACAATATTTTAGTTTATAAATTATATTGTATATAATGATTATTAGTTAATTATACGTACTCCGAAACCGTTTGAATACAAGAAACAGTATATATATATATATTGATCCGAGTGTGTGTTTAACTTATTATTTGTAATAGTTACTATGAGCTTAATAGAGCATAGTAGTCTAAAAATATGATTTGAATTACTTATTCAAATCGGCTCATTTATGGCATATTTATGGATAATTAATTCAGTTATATTGGCTTAGCACTGGTAAATCGTAAATATTATTTAAATCACTGCAAATACATGTGTATTACATACTAGAACGTACTATAACTCATAATATTGTGGATAGGAAAATGTATGTACAAATCTTTTAGATAGAAAAATTTCATTCGACTGAAACAAACCCATTTATTATTACCCTCTTTCATAATCTTACAATATTCTTGACAGTTGTTGCCAACAAATCCAACTACATTATTATTCTTTTGACATAAAATAACAGGGTTAATTAAGAAGATCGTTACTTACTTACATACGCCTGTTACTCCTCGTGAAGGAGCATAAGCCGCTCACCAGTATTCTCCATCCAACCCTGTCCTGGGCAATCCTTTCTAGCTCCGTCCAGTTGTAATTCATCGTTTTCATATCTGCTTCTATTATCCGACGCAATGTGTTCTTTGGCCTTCCTCTTTTTCGCTTCCCTTCAGGATTCCAAGTTAGGGCTTGCCTCGTGATGCACTTTGACGATTTGCGTAATGTATGTCCTATCCATTTCCATCGTCTTTTCCTAATTTCTTCTTCAGCTGGAAGTTGGTTTGTTCTCTCCCACAGAAGGCTATTGCTGATGGTATCCGGCCAATGGATGTTGAGTATCTTGCGTAGACAGCTATTTATAAATACTTGTACTTTCTTGATTGTGGTTGTTGTAGTTCTCCAAGTTTCAGCTCCATACAGTAGAACTGCCTTGACGTTGGTATTGAAGATTCTTACTTTGATATTGGTTGAAAGCTTTTTGAGTTCCATATTTTCTTTAACTGTAGGAATGCTGTCCTTGCTTTGCCAATCCTTGCTTTTACGTCTACATCTGAACCTCCTTGTTCATCGATGATGCTTCCTAGGTATGAGAAGGATTCTACATTTTCCAGAGTTTCGCCATCAAGAGTGATTAGATTGTTGTTTTCCGCTTTGAATTTGAGGACTTTGGTTTTCCCTTTGTGTATACTGAGGCCTACTGATGCAGAGACTGCTGCTACACTGGCTGTCTTCATCTGCATCTGTTCGTGTGTACGTGATAGGAGGGCTAGGTCATCTGCGAAGTCCAAATCGTCTAAATGATTTCGAGCTGTCCATTGTATTCCGTGTTTTCCTTCAGATGTCGAGATCTTCATAATCCAGTCGACCACCAGAAGAAAGAGGAAGGGAGAGAGTAAACAGCCTTGTCTGACTCCGGTCTTTACTTGGAATGCATCTGTCAGCTGTCCTCCATGCACGACTTTGCACTGTAGTCCGTCGTATGAGTTCCGGATAACGTTGACAATCTTCTCAGGAACTCCGTAGTGTCGAAGAAGTTTCCATAATGTCCTCCTATCTATACTGTCAAACGCTTTTTCATAATCAATGAAGTTGATGTATAGTGATGATTTCCACTCAACTGATTGTTCGACGATGATCCGTAGTGTTGCAATTTGGTCTGTGCATGATCGATCCTTACGGAATCCAGCTTGTTGATTTCGAAGTTGGACCTCTACTGCATCTTTCATCCGGTTCAGCAACACTCTGTTGAAGACCTTCCTTGGTATTGACAGCAGTGTAATGCCTCTATAGTTCTCACATTTGCTCAGATCGCCTTTTTTTGGAATCTTGACGAGGTGCCCTTCTTTCCAGTCCATCGGCACTTGTTCCTTTTCCCAAATCTTTTTGAATAGAAGGTAAAGCATGTTTGTAGTTGCTTCGATGTCTGACTTCAGTGCTTCAGCTGGTATGTTGTCCGGACCCGCTGCTTTCCCGTTCTTGATTTGTCTGACGGCCATTCTGATTTCTTCCTTCATTGGTGGGTTGACGTCTATGGGAAGATCTGTGTGTGCCGCTTCGATGTCCGGTGGATTCATTGGAGCCGGCCTATTCAGGAGTTCCTCGAAGTATTCTACACATCTGTTCCGCTGATGTTGAATTTCGGTGATTGGCTTGCCTTCTTTGTCTTTGACCGGTCTCTCTGGTTTACTGTATTTCCCTGCTAGTTTCTTCGTTGTATCGTAAATCTGTTTCATATTTCCTTCTCTAACAGCTTTTTCTGCCGTCGTTGCTAGTTCTTCCACGTATTTCTTCTTGTCGGCTTTAATGCTCCTCTTCACTTGTTTGTTTGCTTCTATGTATTCAGCTTGTGCTTGGACTTTCTCTGCTCGTGTTCGGCTGTTGTTTATTGCTGCCTTCTTGTTCTTCCTTTCTTTGATCTTGTCCAGTGTTTCTGTAGAGATCCACTTCTTATGATGGTATTTCTTTAGGCCCAGAACCTCTTGACACGTTAAAGTTAATGCTTCCTTGATGCCTTTCCAGTTGTCCTCCATACTAGTTTCTTCTTCCTTCCGTAGATCTTGTAAGGCTTGGAACCTGTTGTTGAGAGCAATCTTGAATTCATTGAGTTTGTCAGTATCTCGAAGGAAGGCTGTATTGAACCTTTGTAGTGCTATTTGTCCACTTGTCCAGTTCTTTTTTAGCTTCAGTTTTAAATTGGCCATAACTAGGTGGTGATCTGAAGCTACGTTAGCACCTCTGCTGGTTCTCACATCTTCCATTGTCCTTCAGAATTTTTTATTGATGCAAATATGATCTATTTGATTCTCTGTAGTGTGGTCCGGTGACATCCATGTAGCCTTGTGTATACGTTTGTGTGGAAATACTGTGCCTCCTATGATCAATTTGTTGAATGCACATAGATTTGCAAATCTTACTCCATTTTCGTTTCTTTCTCCCAGACCATGATATCTTCATATCCAGTAATGTCTATTCCGACTTTGGCATTTAGATCTCCCATCAGAATAGTTAGGTCCTTTCTTGGGCATTTCTCAATGACTGACTGCAGCCGCTCGTAGAACTGATCTTTAATGTCGTCGTTGCTATCATTTGCGGGTGCATAACATTGGATGATATTCATTAAGATCCCCTCCTTCTTTGTCTTGAATGATGCTTTGATGATTCTGGATCCGTGAGATTCCCATCTTACAAGTGCATTTCGTGCTACTTTGGACAGCATAAGAGCGACTCCCTGAGTGTGTGGAGCATTGTCCTCTTCGTGACCGGAGTATAGCAGCATCTCTCCCGTAGTTAGCCTTTTCTGTCCAGCTTGGGTGCAGTGGGTTTCGCTGATTCCCAGTACTGCTAAGTTGTATCTCCTCATTTCCATTGCTATTTGACTTGTCTTCCCGGTTTCCCACATTGTTCGAACGTTCCATGTACCTATAAAAATTTTTGCTCTGGTTGTTAGAAGGGGCATCGGCCTCGTGGCTTCCGAAGGAACTCGGCTTTCACCATGAAGCGTCATAATTCTTCTAACTGAAGACCTTCTAACTCCCAGGGCAGAGTTTAAATGGTTTGGATTATTTTTTCTGGTAAGCGTTTTTTTAGCGAGTTAGTTTTCTACGGGATGGGGACGCTAACCCCATGCCCAACCCCCCTCCTTTACCCGGGCTTGGGACCGGCAGTAACCCTATGAGAGCTACAGGCGGAGTTTGAGAAGATCGTATCACGAGAATATTCTGTTTATTGATCTTATACTTACTTTCTATATTCAGTCTTCATTATGAGTATTTACGAAAATATTAATTAAATCCGAAAGAAAGGGATCTATCAATGATTATACTAATATAATTTGAAGGATAACGTGTAGTCAAATGTTTTAAGCGAATACCTGTTCACTGATTTGCCAGTTACACTTTAGAATTTCTCATTGAAAAAGAAATTATCAATATACACAGCTTAATAAATTCAGATTTAGATTTAAGATATTCATGGTCTTAGAACGTTTCTGAAAGAAGCATCAAATATTTTTAGATTCCATAGTAATTAATTACTTAGTAAAAAAATGGTTTTGTCTAACACTTAGTGTTGATTGGGTTCAGGTCGACTAAACAAAATCCAACTGACATCGAGTTACCCTGCATTAGAAGCACATTGTAAATGATCGGTAAACTTCAGCCATCAGCAAGGACGAGAGAAACAGCACATTTGGATAGCACTTAGTCGTCAATCAGTGTCAATGGACTAATCCAAAGGGAGGTTATTTGAGTTTCAAATAACATGAAGGACATTTTGTTGGCTATAACACGTGTTAAAATCTTTAGATGACACCAAAATTACATTTTAATGAGGATCGACTATAACGAAATCTAGTTCAGCGGCATCAAACTATTTGTAAACATTATATGTAATCGGTTGCTAAACTCATAGAGGTTGATCAAGTTACAAAAAGGTGAACAAGTTCCAATATATATGGCGTAAGTGCAAATTGTTTTCGGACATGTAAAAGTTTGAACTTTCTTATATCTAGAAGTAGAGGGTTATGCAGATTTTTAAATTTCATTGGACTCCTGAAATGATCCAAGTTAGACCATCACTAAAAACATAAAGCACTGAACGCTCATTGCGTTCTAGTATGAAACTCCACAAAAGTGCACATCCACAACTGCTTACGTTAAAATCACCCCCAAAAACTTTGGTCTCGTACGCGATGATACAACCATCTAGTGCTTCCACGTTTTCTAGGTTGTTTTTTTAAATTAGTTTTTATCAGTGTCTTAATGAAATTTCTTATATATATATATATAATACACCTGAATTTCAATGATAACGAGTTAATGAATTACAAATTTAAACTAATAACAATTTTTGACGTCACAGATTACTCAAGAACTATTTTATTAAAGTAGCAAGCAAATTACATATTTCACAGGAGATAATCAATGGTATAGTTACTGTTATGGGTAGAGAATGAGTTCAAGTAAAGCTTAAGAGCTACAAATTTGCAGTTATTTATCAAAAAGCCCATAATTTTCAAAAATTTTAAGTTAATTTTACAATCGAGTATGTATATGTAATAGTATACAAGAGAAACGAATTAGGTTTTGTTGTTATATGAGAGAGAGGTTTGAGCTTATGTTTCTTGAATATCTAGTATTTTCCAGGTTGGATTGTTTAATTTTGAAGATGTTATTGCTATTCTGGACAAGGTCTTGAAATCCAAGATAACATCTAGTCGAAGATGATAAACGTTATATTACTATGATTTTATTTACTATTTGACTTATCAATCATTTACCATTCAGATTTAGTATGATAAAACATTCAGTAAAACTTCATTTAAACTGAAATTATAAAAGTATTTGTTTGTCGGTAAATATTTTTAGAATCTCTATTAATGATGAGTAAAAATGCTTTTACCGGACATCAATCTTTAAATAGACGTTTTATCTTGAATAATTTATTATTTGCGAAAATGGCATGTTTAATTTCGACTTGTTTTAATGCTGCCGGTTATTGAACCAAGTAACAGAAATTATTGATTATCTGATTATAGAGAAGTAAAAAAAGTAAATAATTTTAATCATAAGTAAAAATTTTTAAGTAAAAAAATAATGTGAAAATATAAAATTTTATTGTGCTTACATTTACTGTAGCTTCGTAATAATAATAATATATCACTTAACAGTTTAGACAGTTTCAAGAGTTTACGCCTTAATGATATTTGTTTTAATATCAACGTATGTAACTGATTGTAGTAATGTATCAAAGTTAAATAAATCAATTCATTATTACCTTTTTAACTTGCATTGCAGGATTGTACAGGAATAAACCTATTTATGTCAACTAATTAACCGCTATAGACAGAGTGTGATCGAATAGAGCTGCATATTGTTTTGAGGATATCCTTTTGTAACCACGAATGGACGTGTGCAGTAACTCGTTGGGACAGTTATGTGGTTGTGCGCCCAATATAGCTTTCTCCACAGGAGCAGTTGGATTCTTAGATACCCATAATATGGATAAACCAGGTAAATTATCCTTTAGTTGAAGAAGCATCATAGTCAGGATTGAGGACGATAGACAGAGATTAGCTACATGACACATTCTCTGCATTGCTTTAACCAGACTATCTAGTAGTAAATCATTAGCATCAGGAAGGAAGGTTCCTTACTAATAGTCGATGATGCTATTTTCCTGTTCATTATATGCAGATGGATGATCGTGGATGACCCATTTCAATAAACATATTGTGAATAAGTTCTAGTTCAGTATTTATAGTATCATCTGAAAATATCTTTCTGACTCTATTTGCAAGACATCTAACTAGGTTTCGCTTGTGATGAATGAGTACAAAACTCAGGAATCATGTGTACTGGCCTGCTGAAGGACTTTTAATGTACACACTTATAATGATAGAACCATTTTCTTTCCTGTTAAACGGAACCTCAAGAAAATGTAATTTGTTATCAAGTTCATTCCCACACGTAAATATTTTGAAGACGGTTAGTAATGTAATGTTTCACGTAATATTTATTTTTGTAACCTGGTATTTCAAAACGTTCGGAAAACTTGAATTAGAAGTGAACAGAGTGAATAAAAACTAGGCAAGAGCTTAATTTCAAAATCTGTGACAAACCAACATTAATTCACAATTACACGCAGATATAGTAAAATATCGAGATTTTAATGCGGTAAAACTGTTCTTATCTGAGTTAAAACATAAGACTATACGGTGAAGGTACATTAAGCATTATTACTAAATCATGACATTTTTCTATTTAGTCGAATGACTTTAATACGGTTAGTTTATTTAAATAAAATAACTGACGCTCAAAGAGAATTATGCCAGATTTTTAATGAATAAAAAATTATAAGTAGTTTGCGTTGTGAATCCACTTTGTCTAGGAAACCACTGGATGGCGATTTCTTTTCGGCTTAAGAATTGTCAGCTGAGTATACTGGTGACCGAGCAGGGATTGAACCGAGAATCTCCTGATCTGCTGATAAGCGAAGTATATTTAAACCACAAGGTTAGAAACTAACAGTTCACATTACTAGTTTCAACTAATTTATAATATTGTACAACCACTATTCATTTTTATGGGTAATATATTTCTCACCTGAAAATATTGATGTTCAACACTTACTGCTTCTTAATAGAACATACGAACCTCTGGTCAGCGCTAGTTACCGATATGAAATGAAAGGTTTACTTAAGCTTACGATTTACGTCACTTATCAACTTTCATTAAATAACCACTGAGTGCGGAGATGTACGTGCGAACTAATGAGAAGCTCATAATGTAATGGAAACGTTGTTCAATGCCTTTTGCTCTCAACAGCGTAAGTCAGTATTGAATTCTGAGAGCGGGATTGTGGATACGCACTGCCCATACTAGGACGAAACGGCCGTCCTGTGCTTCCACGTTTCTCATGGTGGTCTAGATTCAAATGACTAATGAATTCAGATACTAAAAAACATAATTTGTTTAATAAAACGACCAGTGAACAATCAATAAAGACTCATAAATACAGATTGTAATAATTAGACAATCTATCATTCAAGGATATTTGATGATGTTTTACACAGCTGAGTAACTTCAGCAAGAATGTTATTGTAACGTGAGTACTGGACATGATGTAATCCCGCATGAGTCGGTAGAGACGAATTTGTTTAATGGTCCTTGGTGAACAGTGGCTTGATGATTATATTGTCTGTGATGTGAATTATCTGCACACATCACTCATCCCAATACAGTACGTGACAGAACATAAAAACTCAATAACCGTTGCTTGTATAAATATTGCTTTTGCGGAACAGTCCTCACCTAGATGAAATCTAAATACTTTACAGTTGTTATTAATTGCTACATATCCCTTTTCATAAAGCCAAATAAATAAAGTAATTAAACCCTATTATCCATTGTATTGAAAAGCATATTACATCAACAGACAACACATTGCAATCTGAATTGAATTTAGAATTGAAAATACAGACACAAATCAAATGTTAAAATACCTTGTGATAATTTTAGTTAAAAATGAAGAATATTTGAGCGACCAATTCTTTTCACTAACTTCATCATCAGGCTCTAAAGTTACAAGTCCATAATTACGATATTTTACAAAGGCCAAAAATAAGACATGGCATTAATGAATTTGACAATGTTATGTGTTAAAAATAGTGAACGTTTGCATCTGTTACAATATATATATACTTCAAAATTGTATTAAATACAAATTAGAAAAGTCATTCAATAAAGGTTAGAATGATTTGGAGTAAAGTGTCCAGTCACAATACATAGAATAGTATTATAGTAAAAATGAAAATGTAAGACAATTGTGTGAATAAAATGCATAGTAGGAGAATTTCATCTTGTCAATTGAGATAATAATAATATTATTATTATTGTGTGACTATAATATGTAATAAGGGGGCTGCTATCAAGGTGATTACGATAAACGAATCGGGAATGATAGATGTGAAGATTAAGATAGAGGTAATAAAAAAAGAGGGGATAAGGTGTTTATAATATTCAGTTTAGGTATCCGGTGATCCAGTCGTGCGCCATGGTAAACATAGAGGCTTGATATAATTTTTCTGGATACATAAGTTTGGTTTTTTGGATTTGATCCAGATGGCTTTGGCCATGTAGAGCAAACTTAATCTATCTCCTTGAGGTAGACATTTTGGAACTTGATATAAAACAGAGAAAGCTTCCTCTATTTTGATGTGATGTTCACTATCTACCAAGTGGGGAAGAATAGTTCTGTTAATCGATTTAGTAACTCCTATTCCCAACCATGCTGGTACATGTTCACGAACACGCAAGGATAAAGCCCTCTGAGTACGGCCTACGTATTTATTTCATGAAACACTAAAGATAATATAGAATATGTAAATTGTAGAATTCAGAAAGCATATTTCATCCTGTCTGGGACTGGTTGGGTGGATTTAGCTGTATCCCAGTGTTAATAGTGACATCAGTACCTTTCTCTTCAAGCGCCATCACGAATAAAAATAGAGATAACAATTCTATCATACTGAAGAAAAAATATTGGTAGCAGATTAATAATTTATAACCCACAACTGGGTTTGTTACGATAGCTCAGTTTTATAAAAATTTCAAGGTTTTGTATATTACAATTCTGTGAATTGTTGAGAATAATTTACTTTATTATCCTTAAAGTGCATTTGTTTAAATAAAATGTTTATTAAATATTAATAAGAAATATAATTTTGATGTTTTTTGGTTGAGATCATGAATCAATTGATGTTAGACCACCGTTGGAAACCGCTCGCGGGATCGTGGATGCGCACTGCTGAGGAGTCCCATACTAGGACGAAACGGCCGTCCAGTGCTTCCAGGTTTCCAACGGTGATCTAACATCAATTGATTCATGATCTCAACCAAAAAACATAACAATCTCACAACCCCCATACTGATAATTTTGATGTGTTTGTGAAAGCGTTCTTTTTCACGTCGAAAAATACCTGAAAATAAGAAGAATGTCAAGATATAAAAAGACTAGTATTTGAACGAAAAATATTCTTTTCGATTATCCAGATATACTTTAAAACTGTATACGAATTTCAGTGATTATTTATCATTCCCATTTGTATTAAACTAGGAAGCTTCCTATAGATAAACATTCCAAATCTTTCGTAGTTATAGGGATTGATATGACTTTGAAATTTATACAAAGTATTTGGAAGTTAAAACATTCAACTTTCAAACTCTGTAGCATCAACGTTGGTTTGGACAACACAGTAGTTTTACCCGCCTACACATACGAAGTGTGATTTGAGATTGAACATATAAACTTGTATATAATAAATGATTTAAATTCAGATATGACTTAATTCATTAATCCAATGTAGACACTTAATTTATCATTACTAGTTGCATAAGTATGCATATCTCATCCGTTTATAAACTTTATACAGAAGTGTATCAGTAAAATTGGTCACAATGAACTTTTGATAAAATGTTGAATTGAATGAAGCTTTCTGTTAACCAGTTACGTTAAGTAAACGATTATGTAATTAATTACTTTGATTTGTGTAAAGAAATACTTACTATTTTTATTGTTCATCAGACTTAACCCAGATGATAGTATTTATCTTTCATTTCAACACTTAACTAATAATAATGTGATCTAGAAAATTGTCAATTTTATTTATGGTATAAAGAATTAAAATAGAAATATTATTTCCTAATTCTCATTTTATACAAAACATATATCATGTTTAAAGAATGTGTAGTAGTAGTAGTAGTAGTAGTAGTAGTAGTAGTAGTAGTAGTAGTAGTAGTAGTAGTAGTAGTAGTAGTATGAGGCAGAAATAAAATGTCTCACAATTTAATACTTTCATTGTATATTCTTTCAGTTTAGTTTCAATTTCGAAGAAAATTAATTAACAAATTAAACTGCTAATATAACAATAAATAAGCACGTTTGAAAAGATAAATATAGATATTAATAAATGAAATACATTTATCTTACTAATGAATGAAATATTGATGAGAAAGAATTAATTAATACAAATACCAGAGTGGGTTTTTGTGGATATTATAGTAATTTCAATATTCGAAATCATGAGTCTATTAAACATAGACCACCATGGAAAACCTGGAAGCACTGGACGGCTATTTCATCCTATAGTGGTACTCCTCAGCACTGAACATCCATGAACACGACTGACGAGATTCTAAACCAAGACCCATCTGTGTCGCGTGCGAACGCTTAAGCACTAGACCACCGATCTGGTCGGCACCCGACAGTGTTATTGTCTAACTTCAACTAATCCACGAAATTGAACGACACATCCACCATTGTCTTCAGTGAGTTACTATCTCACAACAGACCCGTCTGGATCCCATTGGTCACTGCTTCTCACTAGAACTTCAGGAAATACTTATTGAAGCCAGTCACTAGTGAGCGTATGTTCAATAATATCAGAAGGGGATTTGTGGATATTATAGTAATTTCAATAGTTCAGATCATGAGTCAACGCTTTCAGGTTTTCCATGGCGGTCTAGCTTCATCCGACTCATGGTCTCAACTATTGAAAGTAATACAAATACCCAGATTAATTAATGTAAAAAGCTGATGCTACAAACTAATCAGTCAATAATAATAGCAGATATACTTTAGATCTATAACAGTCATTATTTTTCTAAGTTCCAGATTTCGGTTATCAAAAAATGTATTAAATATGCTTTTCGAACCAATCAACTATGGTAATAGATTGTTCAGACTAATGAATCTAGTCATAGAACATAAGTACATAAATACCAGGTAACATAACTGCTTCCTGTTCACTAACATGTGCGTGCAGCTGAAGCTTTCTTGTATTTAACACATTTATGATATCTAATTTTTCAATAGAAATAGTTGATATAAAGAATAAATGATGTTTTTAATAAAAGCTTTAAATGATTATGTTGTGACACTATTATCTACTATCAATACGATTCCCAGTCTGCACATAAGTCAATATACTGTAGTCTAACAGTCATAAATCTATTAACATAATGGTATAAAATTTCATACTTCAACCCTCGAGCCCAGTCTAGATTTTCTCGGAATTGGAGGTATATCTTATTCATAAGTGGCACTTGCTAAGAAACGTATGTACTGGTTTTCTCAACGGCTTTTTCCAACCAATTTAGGTCTGAACCTCAAGCATACACAACTACTGGTTGTATTGTATTCGACATATGAAACATAAACTTATTCAAGACTAAATTATCTGGTTCTAGTATCTGAATGAGATTTAATTTTAACATTTACTGAACAAGAAGGTTTAGACATAAACCGATCATGTACTCCATTCATCAAACATCTATTACATATATATCCGGTAAATTCACCATCATCCTGCAAACCATATGATATATTATTTCTATTTCTAGCTATCTGAACCTAATTATCCAGATTCATCACGTTTAACGAAATGAGAATTTTTCACTTTTACTTATGTGTATATCAGCGAATACTATGATAAATAATTTACTGAACTTATTGCCAATTTTCATTAATCAAATGTATTTTGTGCAACCATAGTTTACACTTCATGTCTTAAAAAAATGTTGGGGAGTTTTAGTTCATAAATTGGTTTCTGTTACTTAGTAACAAAGATTGGATTAAGGATATATGAAAAATGTTTTTAGTAAGCAATCTATGCTGAATTATTTTGTAAACATAATATTTTTGACTGTAATTATTAAAACTTAGATGAAACAATTCACTATGATAATGTAAGGGAATTTTCTAAGATATAACTGAGGAGAATAATAAGAATTGAGATGTAATAATAAAATAAATATGATAATCTAAAACGATCTTTACTGAAAATCTGAAAATTGGTTACTTATTTCTCACAGTAACAAAAATAATGTTTATCCAATAAAAATTAGGCAACTTTCCCGTTTCATTAATAATGGACCAATAAACTAATAAATACTATTTCAGATTTTACTCACTATTCTCAAAATAAATTCAACAACGGATACTGAGAAAAAAATTATTTTAGAATAGAGAAAGTTGAAAATTCTTTCTTTTAAATAGACTTTGGTAGCATCGAGTATTACTATTTTGGTAAGTGAAATTATTGGATATTATGAATTATAGCAAATACGTATTTAATAAAATATCAGAAGAGGTTTCTGTGAATATTATAGTAATTTCAATATTCGAAATCATGAGTCTATTAAACATAGACCACCATGAAAAACCTGGAAGCACTGGACGGCTATTTCATCCTATAGTGGTACTCCTCAGCACTGAACAACGACCGACGTGATTCTAACCCAAGATCTATCACTCTCGCGCGCGAACGCTTAATCATTAGACCACTGATCTGGTCGGCATCCGACAGTGGTAATGTTTAGATTCAACTAATCCACGAAATTGAACGACACATCCACCATTGTCTTCAGTAAATTACTATCTCACTAGAACTCCAGGATATACTTCTTGAAGCCAGTCACTAGTGAGCATATGTTGGTTAATATCAGAAGGCGACGAAACGGCCGTCCAGTGATTCCACATTTTCCATGGCGGTCTAGCTTCAATTGGCTCATGATACTAACTATTGAAATTATTAAAATATTTCTAAGATTCTGTTTATTTTTTAACGTAAATTAACTTTTTGTATATAGGACTATTTGTTTCTAGGAATGACAAGTTTTCTGAAGACGGTTCATAATAAAAACGATATGTTTGTAGACTTTTATTGAAAAAAACCCCCACTAAATTTCAACATCGTGAGGCCACTATTACATCATCTCTAAATAACCCATAGATGAAAGACGGTAAAATGCTAAATATTGATTTGTTCGCTTATTGAAATATTAGATGCCTTTTTATTTTTGCTATATTAGGTTGTTTTTAAATAAGTTTATTAATATCTTTATTCCTCTCCTATGTAGTTTAATCAAAGTATTCTATTGGAATTTCATAGTGTTAAACATTTTCTGTTGATTATGTGAGATTATAATCATTAAAATTGAAAATGACCATATTAGTTTACGAAAAAACGATTTAGCAAAACGTAACATAGTCGATTTCTTGACTTTTCAGTCATTTATACCAAGAACTAAAGTTTTTACTGTAATTCACCCACTATGTTCAACAATACTAAAATATTAAAAAATCGAATATTATTGTAACAATTAGATTAATTATCATTGAACAATAATTTCGTGATTCTTTTCCGGTGGTGGTCAAAATCATTTCGATGAACAAGTGTCAGTATTATAAAGAAAGTGAAATATGATTTTCTTTGAATTTTTAGTAATTCGAATGAAACTATAAACATCAGTATCAAAAATATTATTTCGTTCAGCAGATAAAACCAATAGTAGAATATGTAGTTTTTATTAAAACAGTTTTTGATTTAGAATAATGTTGAATGTAGAAGATATCTCACAGACTAATAACAATTGTATCCTTAGTAAAAATTTGATTTATGATATTTTACTGAACAAATACGATTGATGGGTTTCATTTGTAGATCGTAGTTGAAATATTATTTAGTCTTCTCTTGGTCGTGATATCATGCAAAGCCAATGACTTCAATACAGACTGTATGAAATTAATCACGAAGCAAGCCATCAGTGTGCATATGGTTATTGTTTAGTCGAAGTAATTGTAGAGGATAGAGCAACGTGAAAATATCTTTCGTCACGATTTATGTGTGCTGGGGAAATATTGAAGCGACAGGAGTATTTGAACGTCTAAAAATTTTATTTGTAAAACAATAAATTGAGCAAATATTTATAGAATGACAGTCAATATGGTTCAGGATTCTTATACGTTTTAAACAGTGAAATGTAATGTTTTAATCAAGGAAGGATTTATCGAAATTGATCCTAGTTATATCTATGTCTAAATAATATTTAACTCTTAACAAAGCTAAAATTAGTGAATTATCACATCCGCTCATAAAAAGTATACTCGAAATAGATCAGCTTTTGTAGTGAGAAGGAATCAGATAATTTTTCAACTGAACAGTAAATAATATTCTGTCCTTTTAATTTACTAGTGAGATAAGTGAAATATAAAAATATATTTTCTGTATATCAATGGCATGATGAATAAATGTGAATAACACTTTTACTATGATTGTACAGAAGCTCATCAATTTGATTTGACCAAGAAATCTTAATTGTCTACTCATTAGATTGATGTATGCAGCATGTTAACAATCAAAAGTAGTTACAACTGTTGTGTATAGTAGGAAAATGACATACATATACACATATGAACATATCCAAGTACATATATATATAATTTTGTCATATAATTAATAATTTATAGAAGATTTTAAATAGTTATCTTCTTGTTTATTCTTAAAAAGGGACATTGTCTTTATTTGTCTAAAAAGAAGACGTTATTTTTCAGATCACTGACCAAAGCTTTAGTAATTATTTATTTGTAGGGATAAAAATAGTGATAATTAAGCTTTAATTAGGATCTTCTTACAAATCTAACTCTCATTTATGTTTAACATTGTTAAAAAATACTTCAAAAACGTGAAATAAGTAAGCCTGATAGTTAATTTGTATATGTGTAAACATTTAACGTTTTTTTGAGTTAAAATTTATGATTGTTAGGGCCTAAGATGTATCCAACAAAAGAATATTTGTTTAGTTATTTTTGAGGTTGAATTCAGTTGTGAGATGGCTTTTTTCCATAAAATATCGATCACTGGTGAAAACTAAAGCTAGAAAACAATATACCGTTATTTCGCAATGTGGCTCTTCTGTTGCTCACCTCAATAATGTAATTCATGAATCTCCAAGTAACAAAGTGAGCGGGTCAAAATCCCATGACTTCGATCTACAACTTTACCTAGTTGATTATCTTGTTCGACAATCAGTCAGCGTTACTGAAAACAGTTATTGTAAACAATCAGACTACCAGATGGTTTTACTTCAAATACGGAATTCTCAAACTCAAGGTTATTTTTATGTAGAATAATCTTACTGTGATTTTATATTATTCACCGTAATGTAAAATACACAGAAATCGAATGACAGTGACTGACGTCAGAATAATGTTTTGCAAGAATGGTTACATAATCGTGAGACGTGTTCATTGTGATTATTTGAAAAGGAATAAATCTGGTGTACTCTAGGCATGATCTAAGTTAAATTATCAGGAATAGTAGTGTTTTAAAAACTAAAGGTTAACATCTCTTTCTCCAGTTCTTTAGTAGGTGGTTGGTTACCATCTTAAAATAGCCACTCCTTGTGTGCGATTTTTACATGATTACTCAGCTAACAATCCTGAAAATTAAATGAAGTAACTAGTTTTTGCAACAAAGTTCTGAAAGATTATTAAATTTTGAGATGTGTTTGTATTAGTTTTAGAAACAAATAATACTACATCACGAAAGGGAATGAAATAAACTTCTCCATTTATGTCTTGATAAATAGATAGAAGATATAATTTACATAAACAGATAGTTACTAATTAATGAGAAAAAAATACAAATTAAAATAACTATGCAACTGCTGATAATAAGAAAATGATTTATTTTGACTAATTCCTTATATCGATTCAATTCCTACTTACTAGCCATAGAAAGTAGCACTGTATTACATGACAAGATGCAGATAAGACTTTACTTTTATTAGTCGAAACTGTCATTATCATTGCAATGCTTTCGAAATTTTCGTAAAATGCGCTAACGAATAGGTTTTTTTTGAAAATTTCCTTAGTTTCATGATAATAAATTAATACTAAGTGATTTATGACTTAACAGGAACGAAACTCTATGATGATAAATTCAACGGTACTTTGTATGTAACTCTAAAAACGTTTTAGCGGTAATTTGAAGTTTTTTTGCAAGACCTACTAAAAAATGAAAAAAAATATCCAGTAGTATACACTAAAAGTTCTTTTTAGTTAATCACATGGTAAAGTTCAGACTACTTGAATATTCAATTAATTAATCTGTTGAAAAAAACTTCATGACAATCACAGAACAATGTTTTTATTCATTTAAATTAATCTAGACTCTTTCTATTTATCCATTTTAAATTAGGACAAAATTTAACTTAAAATAATAGTTACTTGGATAAGTAGTGAATATATCAAACTGCTTATTCAAGCATACACAAAGGAACTTGGCATTGTCCAATAAGAATAACAATGAACATAGTAATATTCACTTAGTGTTGTTTTACTTGTATCTTCTGATTGTTATTTAGGATTACAATTGATCAGTCTTGTTGGCGTATATACATCATGTGCGGACTGTCTCGACATAAATTTATTTGTCTTATGGGTTCCTATCGGTTATTTACAACTTTAAAACAATATTATAGGTTGATTATAACCAGTAAACATACTTCAAACCAAATAAGTCAAGATTAGTAAACAACAATAAATATAAAATAACCTATGAAAATATTATTGCGACTCAATATTTATGTTTACTATGGTGAAAATCTGTGAAAAAATTTTCGAAAATGCATAAAGGCAAATTTATAGGAAATTTAATTTTGTAACAAACCATGTTGTAAAAGTATTCTAGAAACCGCTTGATTATTTAACCAAATGCCTGATAATTTACCACTAATTTTATAAAGTTTTAGGAAAATTTGGAAACTTAATAAAATTTATTGATTTTATATGAATGATCGGATTATAGACGATTATGTAAGATGCCAAGAAAATATAACTTTTTACTCTGAACAACACTGTTCATCCATTACAATGAAAATAACAAAAAGGTGTGTTCAGTTCCAGTTGAGGTATTTTTGCCTGATAAAGTAGAAAAGTATATCAATAATTAACTGTAATTGTATTGCATTTATAATATAAGATATAGCTCACTAAATATATATGGATAAAAAGCTCGATTTTATTAACTGAATACATATTTTTTATAGAAAATGTTTAATCACTAAGTTAAGAAGGTTCTATAGACAAAAATGCATCTGACATTTTTTCTGTCTTAGTTTTCACTGAAAATTAGTTAGCAAGTAAACATCTATGTTCAGTGGACAAAATCATCGAAGTTGTTTTCTTTATTAATATTATTGAGATAATTTATGAAAGCTACTCATCTTTATTAGTTCGTGAAT